CAGAGCAGGGCACAGAACGGGAGCCACTCCAGGGCAGGGTGGGGACGTCCTGGGGCACGAGGGGCTCTGGGGGGACCAGTGCCACCCCTGTCCCTGTCCCCAGGTACGGCTTCCTCCTGGACAAGGCCCTGATCATCTGCAAGCGCCGGGGGGACTCCTACGAGGCCAAAGAAGTCGTGGACCTGCAGAGCCACCAACTGCGGGACGGTGGCCTTGGCCCCCGTGATGGCAAGAAGGTACCACGGGACACAGGATGTCCCCCAAAAAAATGTGTGGCCGGGTCCTTGGTGGCCCCAGATGTCTTCTTGCCAAGGTGTCCAGGGTCCAGGTGAACCCCAAAATCTGGGACCCTACGGGGTGTCCGTGTCTGGTGGACCCAAGAGTTCAGGTCCTTGGTGGGCCCAAGTCCCCAGGGAACCTCGGTGTCCTCCCAGAGAACCCAAGTGCCCAGGGCCTCGGTGGCCCCAAACACCCAGGTTTGGTGGCCCCAAGTGCCCCGGTCTGGTGGTCCCGGGCACCGACGGCCTCCCCCCGTGCCCGCAGTGGACCCACACCTTCCTGCTCATCGACACGGCCGGGCTGCAGGGCTACGAGCTCTTCTTCAAGACGCGCGAGCTGAAGAAGAAGTGGCTGGAGCAGTTCGAGATGGCCCTGTAGGTGCCCCCACACCTCGGGACGGGGGGGACCTGCACCCCCAGGGGGGCGGGTGGCCTCGAGGGGCACGGATTTGCCCCACTAGACCCATGTCCCCCCCCCCTTGTCTCGCCAGCTCCAACATCTTCCCCGAGCACGCGCTGGCGGACGGGCACGACTTCCAGATGTTCTCCTTCGAGGACACCACGTCCTGCAAGGCCTGCCAGATGTTGCTGAGGTGGGCGACCAGAATCGCGTCCCCACATCCCCCCACGGGGTGGGAAACGGGGCGGGTGGGGGGCTCGGAGGAAGGGGGGAGGCCCCGGGGAGGCGGTTGGAGGTGGCGAGGTCCCAATGGGTCAAGGCCAAGGTGGGTCAAGGGCTGGGTCGAGGCCCAGGTGGGGCAAGACCGGGGTGAGTCAAGGCCTGGGGGGGTCAAACCCTGGTTGAGCCGAGGCCACGGTGGGTGAAGACCACGGTGGGCTGAGACCACGGCGGGTCGCTTCTGGTTGGGTCAACGCCAACGTTGGCCAAGGACCCGATGGGTCAAGGCCTCCAAGGCCGAGGTGGGCCCAGGACTGGGCCAAGCCCGGGTGGGTGAGGTTGGTGGGCCAAGGGGCGTCCCCATGAGCTGACTGTGTCCCCCCCCCATGTCCTGGTGGCCCCCCAGGGGCACGTTCTACCAGGGGTACCGCTGCAGCCGGTGCCGGGCCCCCGCGCACAAGGAGTGTCTGGGGCGGCTGGGGACCTGCGGCAGGGCCGGCGCTGGTGAGAGGGGAAATGGGGCAGTGGGGGCTTTGTGGGACGGGGAGGGGGGCGTTATGGGACGGGGAGGGGGCGTTATGGGACGGGGAGTGGGACGTTATGGGACGGGGAGCAGGGTGTTATAGGACAGGGGACTGGGACATTATGGGACGGGGAGTGGGATGTTATGGGGTGGGGGATGCGGGATGCTGTGGGGTGAGGGAGCAGGACATCACGGGATGGGGAGCGGGGCACTGCGGGATACAACACAGCCAAGGTGGAGCAGGACTTTGTGGGATAAACGGGTGGAGGAGGGCGTTACGGGAACCCATGTGGAGCTAGGCGTTGTGGAGTACCCTAATGAGGCCCACCACCCCCAGGAACCTAATTAGCACCAAGCGTTAATCGGGGCAGGCGTTAACTATTCCCCACTAACGAGCAATTCCTCTTCTCCTGTCCCAGATTCGAACTCTGGAACTAGGAAGGTAACAGTGAAATGGGGGAAAAGGGGCTGAAACACCCCAAATTTGGGAGCGGGGAGGTCCTGGTGGTGCCGTCACCCCCTGGAGCTCATCGGGGTCTCGCTGGTCCCCAGAACAAGTCGCAGCGGCCGGGCCCCGAGAAGAAACGGGGAGACCTGGGTGAGTCCGAGCTGGGGGGTGCCTTGGACGTCTGGGTCCTTGTGTTTGGGGGTCGAGGGGGTGTCCCCGTCCCCCCCCAAAGTCACCGTGTGCCGTCGTTCCCCCAGGGCTGCCCAAGATGGAGGCGACCCAGCACTATGGGGGGGTGCCCCCGCCACCGGGGGCCGTGGGTCCTGCCCTGCGGCTCAGCCCTGGGGACATCGTGGAGGTCACCGTGGCCGAGGCCGAGCAGCTCTGGTGGCAGGTGGGGACCCTCTGGGGACGGGGCCACCATGGCAGGACCCTAAAGGCCATGGCAGGACAGGACCCCAAAGGTGGGGACAGACCCCACCGTGGGCAATAGTGGGGAGGGGCAGCCCCCCAAATCCGTGCTGGACCCACGTGGTGAATCCAGAGCCTCCTGCGTCCACCGTGGGCCAGACGAGATCCCACTGATGAGCTGGGGAGCTGTGGTTGGACTGGATGCTTATGGGGTTGGGCACGACCTCCCCCACTGCTAGGATGCCCCCCCCCCCACAGCTCTGCTGAACTCCCCCCACCATGGGGTTGGACCCTCATGGCCATGGTGGATCCCTGTGATGGAGATAACCCAGGCTCCCGCAGCCACCCCAGACCCCCCCAAGGGGGACAGACCCCGTTATGGGGCCAGGGGACCCCCGATGGGCCCCCCCAGCACCGTGGTCCTTTGTCCCCAGGGCAGGAACGTGGTCAACGGCGACGTGGGCTGGTTCCCCTGTGCCGCCTGTCAGACCCTTCATCTGCGTGAGTACGGGGACCCCAAAACCCCCTGAGAGACCCCAAAATGGCTCCAAGGAGCCCCAAGGGCTGGGCACTGTGAGGACAGTCCCCAAAATTTTTGGGGTGTCTTGGGATTTGGAGGGAGAGGGAGGGGTCTGTGGGATATTGGGGGGGGTCTCGGGGGAGTCACCCTCTGTCCCCCTCTTTGACCCCCATCCCTGCCTCTTTCCCACAGACGCCGCTGCCGGATCTCTCCGTCTACCTCTGGTGGGTGTCAGGGGTTCCCTAAATCCTCCTCTGGAGGCCCCACAAATCCCCCCAGACCACCCCAAATCCTCCCCTGGGGGACCTCCATAGGCCCCGGGCACCCCCCACCCCAAATCCTCGCCAAGGAACACCCCCACAGCCCCCGGCACCCCATGAATCTCCCCCAGGGGCACCCCATCCTTCGTGGGGTCACCCCACAGCCTCTGCCCCCCTGCCAGGTCCCTTTTTGGGGTCCTTCATCCCCCCTGGGTCATCCCGTCACCCCCAAACCCCCCCCTTGATGCCTCCATCCTTCCTGGGAGCCCCCAGATCACCAGGGCCTGTCCCATAGCCCCCAGCTCACCCCAGGCAGGCGGGGGGTGCTGTTTTGGGGGGGCTCAGGACCCCCACCCTGTCCCACCCCAGGTACGCGGGCCCCATGGAGCGGGGGGAAGCCGAGCAGATCCTGACGCCCCGCTCGGACGGCGCCTTCCTGGTGCGGCAGCGGGTGAAGGACACCGGTGAATTCGCCATCAGCATCAAGTAGGGGCCGGGGACACCCCAGGGACCACCCCTGGGGTTTTGGGGGGGGTGGGACGGGGACAAGGGGGTCACCAGCTCAGCCCCCCCCCCATGTCCCTATGCCCAGGTACCGCACGGAGGTGAAGCACATCAAGGTGATGACGGCGGAGGGGCTCTACCGCCTCACCGAGAAGAAGGCCTTCAAGGGGCTGGTGGTGGGTGTTGGAGCCCCCCAAACCCCAACCCCGCTGCCTGGGGGACCCCCGTTGGGGCTGGGGGGGGGCTCATGGTGACCCCTTTGGTCCGTGTCGTCTGCAGGAGCTGGTGGAGTTCTACCAGCGCAACTCCCTCAAAGACTGCTTCAAGGCGCTCGACACGGCCCTGCTGGTGCCCTTCAAGGAACCCGAGAGCCGGGCTGGGCCCCGGCCGCCCGGTAGGGCCTGGGGGGGTGGGTTGGGGCGGAGGGGGTGGCGGTGGGATGGACGGGGTGGTGGGATGGACGGGGTGAGGTCCCCCATGGTGGTGGGATGGGATGGATGGCGGTGGGATGGAGGTGGTGGGCTCGTGGTGGTGGTGGTGTGATGGAGGTGGTGTCTTCTTCCCCGTACCAACGTCCTCAGGTCGATGGGGACGAATGGCCCAAGAGGGACCAGTTACCGGGGTTTGCTGGGGGGGCTACGGGTGAGGTATGGGGGCAGCCGCGCCACGGGGACACCTCGAGGGGGACGGCTCGAGGGGACGGCCATGGGACGGCCAACGGGGGACAAAGGGCCGGGAGAGACAGACGCCAGGGAGGGGAGGTGGCCCGGGGGGGGGGTCTCACCATCGTCCCCGTGTCCCCCCCCCCAGGGGCCGTGCGCAGTTTCGGCTCGGCCAAGGCTCGCTACGACTTCTGCGCCCGCGACCGGACGGAGCTGACGCTGCGCGAGGGCGACGTGATCCGCGTCCTCAGCAAGAAAGGCCACCCCGGCTGGTGGAAGGGGGAGATCTACGGGCGGGTACGGCCCCTTGAGCCCCCCAGGACCCCCCCCCGGGACCCCTCCGAGGTCCTCACCCCCCCTCTCCTTTGTGTCCTTGCTCCCCCAGGTCGGCTGGTTCCCCGCGAACTACGTGGAGGAGGATTACTCGGAGTACTGCTGACCAGCGGGATCCCCCAGTCCTGTCCCCAACCTCGTGTCCCCCACCCCGATCCCATGTCCTGTCCCCCCCCCACACCCCCTGGAGGTCCCTGTATCCCCCCGCCACCCCACCTCCCACCCCACCCCAATTAATTTATGCCTCCTCCCGCCCAGGAGGGGCAATAAACGAGGATGAGGATGTGGTTATGGGATCACGAGGATGTGGTTATGGGGTCGTCACTAGGAACGGACCCAGGTGTCATGGCAAGGATGAGTTTGTGGGGTCATTGTCACTGGGAAGGGACCCAGGCATCTGGGAGGGGACAAGGATGTGGTTGTGGGGTCATGAGGATGTGCTTATGGGGTCGCAGTCACCAGGGAGGGACCCAGGTATTTATGGCAAGGATGAAGTTACGGGGTCGTTGTCACTAGGAAGGGACCCAGGCGTCTGGGTAGGGGACAAGGATGTGGTTATGGGGTCAGGAGGATGTGGTTATGGAGTCAGTGACTAGGGAGGGAACTGCGTGTCCAGAAAGGACAAGGTTATGGGGTCACGGTCACTAGGAAGGGACCCAGAGGTTGGGGCAGGGGACAAGGACGTTGTTATGGGGTCAGGAGGATGCGGTTATGGGGTCGCTGTCACTAGAAAGAGCCTCGGGCATCCAGACGAGGGCAGGGTTATGGGGTCACGGGCACTGGGAGGGGACCCGAGTGTCCCAGTGGGAACCAGGACCCCAAATGTCCGTGGGGGGGAGCCTCGTCACTGCCCCGAGGTGTCACGAGCGGCCTCAGGCCTCAGCCCGCAGCGAGGCGGGGGGATGGAAAGGGGTGGGAAGCGGTTTTGGGGCCGAACGGTGGTTTTAGGGCCGTCCGGTGCTGCTTCCTCTCTGCCACCGGTGCTGCGGTGCCACCGCGTCCCCAACGCTTGTCATGGGGTCCCCCCACCTCGCCGCCTGCCTCCGGGGTGAGTCATGCCCGCCCCCCCACCCGGGCACGGATTTGGGTTGAAATGGAGGGGAATGGGAAAAGGGGAAACTGAGGCAGGGGCGGAAGCGGGTCGAGGCTGTAGCAGGGAACGGCCCAAATTGAAATCATTGCAAAATGGGGATTTTTGAATCCTGTGAGGAGGCTGGGGGGGGGCGTCGGGTACCAAATGGAGGGGTTTGTCCCCAAAAGGGTGGCTTTGAGCCTGGGAAGGGATGTGGTTGAACCCAAAAAGGGGGTTTTGAGCCCTGAAAAAGGGGGTGGTGCGCTCTGATGCGGGTGGGATGACCTTAAAAAGGAAGGATTTTAGCCTCCCCCCAAAAGTAAGGTTTTTAGCCCCAGTGGGGGGGTTGGAGCTCTGATGGGGAGGGATGAGCCCCAAAAGGAGGCTTTCATCCCCCAAAAGAAAGGTTTGAGACCCAAAAGGGGATTTTGAGACCTGACTGGGGAGGTGTGTGGGGGGAATCAAGCCCAGAAAGGGTGTTTTTAACCCCAAAGGTGAGGGCTGAGTTGGGATGGGGAAGAATGAGGCAAAAAGGGGGTTTTGAGCCATGATGGGGGGGGCGTTTGGGCCCAGAGAGGGCATGTTTGGCCCCAAAAGTAGGGTTCGACACCCCCAAAAGACGGGTTTGAGACCCAAAAGAGGGGGGTGAGATGGGCGGGGGAGAACGTGAGCCCAGAAAAGGGGATGTTTAGCCCCAAAATGGGTAGGGCAGAGCTCGTATGGGAAGGGTTGAGCCCCGAAAGGGGAGTGTTCAGCCCCAAAAAGGAGATTTTGGTTCGTGATAGGAGGTTTTGAGCCCCAGGAAGGAGGTTTTGAGCCATGATAGGAAGTGTTGAGCCCCAAAAAGAAGTCTTTGAGCCCCAAAAAGGAGGTTTTCAGTGTTTTTTTTTTGGGGGGGGGGAGGTGAGTCCCAAAACGTGGGGTTTGAGCCCTGATGAGGTGTTTGGACTCCCCAAATGGGGGAGTTGAGACACAAAAAGAAGGGTTTGAGACCCCAAAAGGGGGGTTGAGACTTGAGGGGGTATTTAGCCCCCAGAAGGGGGTCATTTAGCTCCCCCCCCAAAAAAAAAGGAGGGGTGGGGAGAGCCCCAAAAAGAAAGGTTTGAGGCTCAAAAGGGAATTCGGAGCTCTGGTGGAGGGGGGGGGGGCATGCTTAGAAAAAGGGGGATTTGGAGCCTCCCAAATGAGTTGGGAACCCTATGGGGGGGGTCACAGAGCACTGACACCCCCCCAATTCCCCCCCCTCCAGCACTGTGCTGCCTCCTGAGCCTCCTCCACGCCGCTGCCGGCACAATGCTCACCCGTGAGTTATGGGGATGGGGGGGGGGGGCTCAGCCCCAGGTCCTCTCCTCATCCTTTTGGGGAGGGGGGGGGGCTTGGGCCCCCTCTCAATGCCCCCCCCCCCCGATGTCCCCCGCAGTGCAGTGTGACACCCAGTCCTGCTCCGCCAGCAGCTGCTGCCTGGGGCTCCCTACGGCGAGGAGTGGGCAGCTGGGGGGGGAGCCCTGGGTCTGCGGGTGCCCCCCGGGCTTGATCCGCACCATCCAAAAATCCTCCGTCGTCTGTGATTGCCCCCCCGGCTTGATCCGCTCCACCCAAAACTCCTCCGTCTGTGAGTGCCCCCCCGGCTTGATCCGCTCCACCCAAAACTCCTCCGTCTGCGAGTGCCCCCCCGGCTTGATCCGCTCCACCCAAAACTCCTCCATCTGTGAGTGCCCCCCCGGCTTGATCCCCTCCACCCAAAACTCCTCCGTCGTCTGTGATTGCCCCCCCGGCTTGATCCCCTCCACCCAAAACTCCTCCGTCTGTGAGTGCCCCCCCGGCTTGATCCGCTCCACCCAAAACTCCTCCGTCGTCTGTGATTGCCCCCCCGGCTTGATCCGCTCCACCCAAAACTCCTCCGTCTGTGAGTGCCCCCCCGGCTTGATCTGCTCCATCAAAAACTCCTCCGCCGTCTGCGGGTGCCCCCCCAAAATGATCTGCACCATCCAAGATTCCTCCATCATCTGCCAAGGTAATGGGGCCAACGCTTTCACCATTCCCCCACCTCCTTTTTTATATTCCATTTCCCCTTTTTTCACCCTTTTTCCCTCCCCATAATCTCCTTTTTTTTTTTTCCCCCCATTTGGGGGATTGCTGAGAGCAGCCCCTCCACCCCCCCCCCCCAAACCTGTGACCCCCTTCGTTTCCCCACCCCATAACCCTTTAACCTCTTTTTTTCCCCAAAACGTGACCCCCCTTGCCCTACAGAGGCCTGCGACGTCACCAACCTGGAGCCGGTCAAGAAACTCTGCGAGGGGAAGAAGGTGGGGTTGGGGGGGGGGGGGAAGAGGGGTTTGGGGGGAAAAAGAGGGGTTTGGGGCAAAAGAGGGGGGTGTGGGATGAAGGGAGGGACGGATGGACAGAGACAGAGGGTCCTGGGGTGGGTGGTGAGGCAGGGACGGACAGACAGATGGACAGACGTGTCCGTGGGGTGCAGGTCCATGTCACTGCCCCCCCTGTGTCCCCCCCCCCCCCAGGGCTTCCCTCTTTGCACCAAGCTGCTGAACAGCACCAAGGGCCCGAAGGAAACCTGCGCCAACACCACGGAGCAAACGCTGCAGGTGACAGGGGGGGCAGCGGGGCGCCCGTCCCCTGCACCCCTCATCCCCTACACACATCTCTCCCCCCGTGTCCCCCCCCGTGCCCCCTCAGGAGGTGCTGAGCGAGCTGCAGAGCGTGGTGAAGAAGCAGCAGTGCACCCAGCACGGAGCCAAATCGGCCGCGCTGCTGATTCAGAGCACCGAAGCCATCGTGCTGCAGGCCGCCCACGGCGGCATTCGGGAGCTGAACACCACCTTCATGCGTACGCCTCCCCCCTCCCCAGCACCCACGGGTGCCCACGATGCTCCCCCAAGCCCCCCCCCCGCAGCACCCCCAAAAAGGTTTCGGGGCATGGCGACGCCCTGAGAGCCAGCTTGGCGTTTCGCTCATACCCGTTCCCTGAGGTCTGCGAGAGCGTGGTGGTGCTCAGGGCAAGCAAAAGACCCCAAATGCCTTTTTTTTGCCTTTTTTTTTTTTTTTTTTTCCCCAAATCAGAGGCCGAGACAAAGCTGGTGGATGATGCCTGCCCCATTGGGGGGAATGATCTGGAGCTGAAGGTGGAGGAGGAGGAGCTGAACATCAGATGCACCATATTGCCAAAAGGTAGGGCCATTGCATGGCGGGAACGGAAGCCCAAGAAGCCGAAATTTGCCATTTTGGGGTGGTTTTAACCCATCTCTCTGCGCAGGCACGGTTGCGGTGGCCTTCATCGTCTACAAGAATTTGGAGGACGTGCTGAATAACGTCATGGAGATGTCCCAGGAGGTTCTCATCTCCCGCGTAGTTGGCGGCACCGTGGGGAACAACAACAAAACCACCTTCTCCAGCGACTTCTTTATCACCCTGCAGCACAACAAGGTGGGCGCTGGGGGGCCCCGGGGTGCTGCTGGGGGGGTGCCGGGGGGGGATTTTCCCAGGGATTGCACGGCAGGACCTGTTGCACCGGGGCGTTGCAGTGGTGCAAGTTCGGAGCGCGGCTTCGGTGCAGTTTGAGGTGAATTCAGGGTCGGTGCAGCCCCGTCCTGCTGCAAATTCAGATCCAGCGTAGATCTGGGGTTGGTGCAAATCCCCAGCCCAGTGTGAATTTGGACTCTATGCAAATCTGGATCCTCTGCAATTTTGGGTCTGTGCATCCCCACCCTGATGCAAATTTGCATTTCATGCAACTCACTTCAGTAAACACCACCCTGCTGCAAACCCAGATCCAGCGCAAATTCAGGACCGGTGCATTCCTGCCCTGGCGCTAATTCGGATTTGGTGGCTCTCTTTCCTGGTGCGAATTGGCATGTGGTGCAAATCCTGATCTGGTGCGGCCCTGCCCTGGTGTAAATTCAGACTTGGTGCATCCCCAGATTCAGATCTAGCGAAAATTCAGGGTCGGCGCCTCCCCAAGCCGAGGCTCGGCGCGTCCCTGTCCCCGTTGGCACCCAAAGGTGGGAAGGGGCGACACCGACCCTACAGGGGGCTGAAACCTGGAGGGGGGCCGTGCTCCGCAGTCGCTGCAGGAAGGCAAGGAGGCGGTCTGCATGTCCTGGAAGCTGGAGGGCTCCAAGGGGCGGTGGACACCGGAGGGCTGCCGTCGCACCGGTGGGAACAACTGGAGCTCCATCTGCGCCTGCAACCACTTCTCCAGCTTCGCCATCACCATGGCCACCCGAGAAGTGAGGCCCCGCGTGTTCCGCCCGCGCCGTTTCACGTTCTCTCCTCGCCCAGCAGTTGAGCTTGGACGGGACAGACGTGACGTCACGCGTGTGACGTCACGGGTGATGTCATTGCAGGGGAACGAGAGCCACGCGCTGTGGGTGGTGAGCTGCGTGGGGCTGTCGGTGTCGCTGCTCTGCCTCTTCCTCACCATCGTCACCTTCGTCCTGTGCCGCTCGCTCTGGAGCGTCAGCATCTCCCTCCACCTCCAGCTCAGCATCTGCCTCTTCATCGCTGACCTCCTCTTCCTCGTGGCCGAGCACCTCACCACCAAGATGGTAATGGCTCCTTGGGGTCTCCTCAGGCATCTGGGGGTCTCCTTGAGCATCCTGGGTTCCCCATGGGCTCCTCAAGATCTCCTTGAGCATCTTGGGGTATTCGAGGGTTCCTTGATGTCTCCTTGAGCATCTTGGGGGTCTCCTTGAGCATCTCGAGTTATGGTGTAGGAAAGGTTTGAGGAAGGCCTGGAGACCTGCTGGCCAACCCCGTCTCAAAGCAGGTCCCAGTAGTTGGGGCTCCCCTCGGTCCTTGGTTCCCTTCTTGCTGTGAGAGCACCTGAATTAGGATAACCGAGGCTGAGCAGGATGTCTGGGAGCCTCCAGATCACCCCTGAACCCAAGGCAGGCCCACCCACCCGGGGTTCCTTGAGGCTGTTGGGTCCCCTCCTCCTCTGGGAGGGTGCAGCCGCTCGAATTACAGCCGAGCTTAGGACGGAGAACTTCAGAAGTCTCTGGTCCACCCTGAACTCAAAGCCCTCGAGGTTCGAGGCCACGACGGGGCGTTTGGGACATCTCCGAGGGCTGGAGGCACCACCACCTCCCGTGGTGACACCAAAAGTCCTCCCGGAGCCAACCGCGGCCTCGGTGTCCCCCCCACCCAGCTGCTGTGCAAGATCATCGCCGGCTGCCTCCACTACTTCTTCCTCGCCTCCTTCTCCTGGATGCTCCTGGAGGGTTTGCACCTCTTCCTCACCGTCAGGAACCTGCGCGTCCTCAACTACCTCAGCGCCACCCGCTTCAAGCGCAGATACATCTACCCCGTGGGCTACGGCCTCCCGGCCATCGTGGTGGCCGCCTCCGCCGCCACGCGCCCCGACGGCTACGGCGCCGAGAAGCAGTGAGTCCCCCCCGGGCATGGGGTCAGCCAAGGGGGTGGGATCGGTGCAGAACGCCATGCGTTTTGCAGGATTCTCCCCCAAAAAGGATGCCCCGGCGTCTGGGTGCGGGTGTTTTCAACGTCACCAAAACTGCCCCGCGGTGGCCGGGGTGGTTTTGTTTTTTTTTTTTCCCCTTTTTCTGCCCATTTAGCTGCTGGCTGAACACGGAGGGAGGCTTCATTTGGAGTTTCGTCGGCCCCGTCTGCGTCATCATCCTGGTGGGTGTTTTGCTGCAGAAAAGGGGGAAAAATGGGGGGAGAAGAGAAAATTTGTCCATCTTTAAGGACAGCGTTAAGGCAACGTCCAGTGAACCTGGTGGAGGTGGCACTGTGCTGTGTTAATGATGGGGTTTTGTATCTTTTGGTCCCTTTTCCAACCAAAATTCATGATCGTGCCCATGGTTCCTCCTCCACAGACCCTAAACTGAGCAACTTTTAGAGATTTGCCTAAAAAGAGCAAGTTCACACGTGTTTAAGGGTGACGTTACGTCCCATGGGCTGCGTGTGCTTGGTGGAGGTCACACCACGCAGCGCTGGTGCTTTATTTTTTCCCTACAGTTGACCCTTTTCCACCCCAAATTTCCAGGCCTATCTTGCGGAATTTCTGTACGTAATTTTTGGCTTTCTGCACAGATTAATCTGATCTTTTTTCTCATCACCCTCTGGACGCTGCGGAAGCGACTCGCCTCCCTCAACGCCGACGTCACGGCCATAAAAAACACCCGGTGGGTTTTTGCGTTGTTTGTTGTGGAGGAAGAGCATTTGGGATGGTTTTGGGGAGAAAAACGAGGAAAACGGGTGTCCCGGCAGGCTGATGACGTTCAAGGCGCTGGCGCACGTCTGCATCCTGGGCTGCACGTGGGGGCTGGGCCTGCTGCAGGCACAGGGGGGGGAGGTGGTGGCCTTCATCTTCACCATCGTCAACAGCCTGCAGGGAGCCTTCATCTTCCTCGTGCACTGCGTCCTCAACCGGCAGGTACGGGGGGGGGACAGGCGGCGAGCCGGGGGGTCAGGGGACGTTGGGGACACGGCCACGGGTGCTGTCCGCAGGTGACGGAGCACTACCGCCGCTGGTTTCGGGTGCTGGGGCAGTCGTGGAAGCCCCAGGAGACGCCCACCACCGAGATGCGGATCACCTATGTCACGGTAAGGGCGCCCGGACCCCCTCGCGCCCCCTTCCCTGGGGCGTTCAGGGGGGCTGGCGAGGAACTAATGGGGTCCCCGCTCCCTTTCGGACCCGTTTCTGCCTCGTTTCACCCCAACTCGGGCTCTTTCTCCCCCAGGAAGGGGAAAGATCGCAGAGCCACAGCGCCGAGGGCTGCACGTGGGAGAAGTGACGGTGGGGATGCGCCGGACCGGCTCATAACCTGTGTTTTTCAGCACATCCAGCCCGTTTTTACCAGATTCCTGATCATCTCACCCATTTCCAACGTTTTTTCCCTCTGAACAGTGTTTTTTTGGAGCTCTCCCCCTAAATCCAACCAATTTTCAGCGTTTTCTCCCAAGAAACAAGCCATTTTTAGCATTTTATCTCCCATTTTTAGCACTTTCCTGAAGAAACAAATCATTTTTAGCATTTTTCCCCCTTTTTCTAGCATTTTCTCCCAAGAAACAAGCAATTTTTACCATTTTCTCCCAAGAAACTTGTTAAATTAACAAGTTTTTATTGAAAGCAGAAGCATATCTTTGTGCCAGTGCTACCACTGGTGGACTTTTCTCTGAAAACAGTCTGAAATGGCTAAAAACCAGTTTCATTTTCAGCCACAGGTCCCCTTCTTATTGATTTTCCAGCAAATTTCTCAAGCCTGGCTCAAATTTCCTAATTTTCACAGGCGGAGAGGGAGATCCCAAGGTTAATTTTCAACCCAGAGAAGGCATTTTGTTACCTGCAATGAATCGTTGTGTTTCGACTGATCGATAACATATAAATCATCCTCTCTCTCTCAAGTTTTAGCTTACAATCCTTTAAAAACTATCATTAAAATCAAACCACGCTTTGAATGGGTTTCCTTGGATTTAACCTGAAATTTTCAGCCACTGGGGTGGTCTGATGCAGCTGCTTTATTTGTTTAGGGGGGTAAAGGACTGAGTGGTGCTGTTTCTTTACAAAATATATATATATTTATTGGGTGATAATGTGCTGAATTCAGAAATGTGCAAGTGAGTGAAATTAGGGTTTTGAGAAGAATTCGGGTTGGAGAGGGTTGGATGTGGGGCTAGAGCAGGGCAGAGGTGGGGGCTGGGGGCTGCAGGAAGGGAAGGATAAATGCAGGAAAAAGGATTTAAAAGTGAGGGGGGGTGGAAGGATTTTTCCAGAAATTTTCTTTTCTGAGAGTTAAGCAGAAACCACGATGCAGTACTGGAGCTAGGGTGAAAAAGGAGAAATTCAGCCATGTGGAGAAACGGGACTGGTTTTGTGCCGGTGAGTGGGTTTTTACCTTTCCACAGTGGCTTTTTTTTAACCAAACCCACCCTTTTCTTTTTGGTATTTCGCGGGTCAGACTCGCAAGGCTCATGGTTGCAGAGATTTCACTGGATTTAGGGATTTGTGCAGGCAAGGAACAGGAGCCTGGAGCCATCAGGGTGAGCCTGGTCCCCCCAGAGCTTTGGGATTTTGTCCAGCTCCTGAGAGTGAAGTTTAAAATGTGTTTTTCTACTTGCATATTGGAAATTGTCTGAAAACAGGGGAAAAAAAAAATGCTAAAGTCAGCATGTCCAGGACTTTTCACAAATCCAGTGGTTGGAGCGGGAGCAGTGCTCGTTGAACCAGATGCCGCTGGGCCGCATGGTGCCACAGCTGTCCTTGTCCCTGTTGCTGTTCTGGCTCCAAGTGTCCCAGTAGCTGGAGAGAGGGGAAAAGAAGAAAGAAAGGAAAAAAAAAAAAAAAAAGAACAAAAAGAGGGAAAGGGAGAAAGAAAAAATAAAAAGAGCGCCACAGTGGCAGAGCTCTCCCAGGAACAGGGGAAAATTTTATTTCAAGGGAAGGAGTCTGCTGAAAAGCTCCATCCTGCACCCCAGAAAATGTTTTTGTTTTGTGTTGTTGTGCCACCAGCAAGAAAAAATCTTCCCATAACAGCATTTTTCCAATGTAAGCCCTTTGGTTTGTGTAAAATTACCTAAACAACCCTATTTCAGTGGCTCAAACTCAGCTTTTTCTCCTCTTGGGACAGTTTTCCAATTTTAGGGAATCCCCGTATGGATTTTTTACCTCACACTTAAAGGTTTGCCATTCATCCAGAACCAGTCACCTTCCTCCGGTTTATACGTCACTCCCATCCAGTAGACGTTGCTGCTGTTCACGTTGTCCTTCAGGAACTCCTAAAAAGGCAGAATTGGTTACAGCAACCCCCAAAAAAACACAATAATTCTGGGGAGCCCACAAGTAATATGGGGAATCTCAAAGCTTTTGGTAATCGGTGATATCGTCACCACAACTGAGCAGAATTTTTTGGTAAATAGAAAACAGATTTGGTGCCTTAAAGTAAAATGCAACCACGGTGCTCTGGAAAGGATATTTTGACCCTTTTTGACCCATTTTTAGCACTTACTCCTAAAAAGAAATATGACTTTACCCAACTTGGCTTAGCCACCAAGCACTTGTCTCTACTTCAAATTACCGAGCAGATGGCCAATTTAAAAAAAAAAAAAAAAAAAAAAAAAAAAAAAGGTTTTGGAGGTCCCCTGTTTGCCAGAGTAGGAATTCCCCTCAGAATAGGGGCTTTGGGCACCGTTCAAGCTGAAAAAATGGCGGTTTTTCACTTGAAAGCATCTGGCCGACCTGCTCCAGCTCCGTTTCGATAATGACCAGGTGAGCATCTTGGTCGATGCAGGTCTCCTTCGCAGCCGACCAGCTCATCACCTCCGTCGAGAAGTAGTAGCAGCTCCCCTCGAAGATCTTCCAGCCAGCCAAGCACTGTTTGTTCGGGAGGTTATGGCAGATCAACGCTGGAAGGACGAGAAACCCCCAAAACGTCTCAAAACCAGCACGGCTCACCCTAATTTTCCAGCCTTTTTGGGCTAAACCCAGGTTTTTCTCCGGGGGCACTGTCACGACAGCGATAGTCCCGTAGCTTTACCTGCGACGTCCTGCAGCTCCTTGTAGTACCTGCGCATCCCGCTCCGCACCCTCATCTGCTCCTGCCGTGCCTCCGACATCTCCTGCAGCACTGGGGAGCGCAGCAGGGTGAGCCCCCCTCTACCCACCCACCCTTTTTCCCCCTCCCCGCTTTGGATTTCCCAAATCTTTGGCTTTTTCTCCCGGGATTTAGTTCATTTCCACGTGCAGAAATGGGCTGTCAAAGCTCCTGCACCACCAGCTGCCTGTTTTGCTGCACGGTTTTCTTTCTGGGTGACATTTTGCCGCAATATCACTCGTAATAACATTTAATTAATCACTCATTTGGCAGCAGTTAAGGAGTTGGCCAATTATATTTGACTTTTGCAGAATTTTCGATAGGATTTACACCCTTCCCGTCCTGTAACAGAGGTAACAGGGTGGATTTCCCCCCAGGCGAGCTCCTAATCCACAGCCAGGGTAACTCCCACGACACCCAGAGGGCTGATTTGCTCCTGTTTGCACCATTTTTGGGGCTAATTCCATTGGGATTGAGGCCAGAGCTTGGTCAGTGCCCAATTTATGCTGTTACCCCACTGCAGTTCCCCGTGGATCACTGGGAATCGGAACCAAACTGAAGCTGGTGTTGTTCCACGAAGAGCTGGAGCAGAACCAGGAGCCCCCCTCCTCCCAAAAAGTCATTTTTTTTTTTTTTTATTCAATTTACACCAAGTAATGAAACGTGGTGCCAGAAAGGACACCAACACCCCAAAATCAGGGTCTCCCAACTCCCGCTGAGCTGGGAGCGTGTCACCGTGGGGCTGAGCATTCAAGGACCTACTGTTAACTTGGGTCTCGGACTGGTTCGACTTCAAGAGCTCCAACTCCGTCGTGATTTCCACTTCTGGAATGGAAACGATGGAAAAAAATGTGATTGGATCATGTCAAGGAACATGCGGTGACCTCGAAATTCACCCAGTTTAAGATTTCTGTGGGCTGAGTGAGGGATTTATTGTGGATTTCCACCTTGTGCTGAAGATGTTATCTTTCATGGTGAAAAAGCTTTTTTTTTTTATTTTTAGGGTGTTTCACCAAACCAGCTGCCTCCCAGCCCCTCGGGGCCACTTGTGGGGCCACTTACGTTTCACCAAGACCAGCGTGAGGAGCAGCGCCCACGCGACAAAGCTCAGAGCCATCAAGACGTAGAGGACGGCCACCGACGTCTGCCTGGGGCCCCGGCCAGCCTCCGGGTCGGCTGCGGAGAGCGGTGCGGGGAAATCAGGGAGGAATCAGGAGAAAAACCCACTCGAGCCCTCTGGTGTCAGCCTAGGTGGGACAAAACGAGGCGACTCACCTGTCCGGGAAGGATTTGGAGACGCCGGTTTCCCCGCCAGGATGTAAACCCCTGTGGAGAGGTAGGAAAGCATCACTGGAGGGCTTTTTTTTTTTTTTTTTAAGGCATTTTAGGGTCAAATCCTGCCCCGCTGAGGCCCTCGACCACACGGGGGATGCAGGGAGAGGAGGAGGGTGCTACCTGTGCCTCCTTTGCTCCTCTGGCTCCGCAGATCTTCATCGGATGCTGGTGGCTTGCGCTCCGACTCCGACACAGACACGTCATCGTAGTCATCCTCATCGGCAAAGCTGTCTGGGGATGCTGCGGGAGAGAAAAATGGGTGAAATTTGTGTTTTTTTCTGGGCAGGAATCCCAGCTGTTAACAATCTGCTCAGTCCTTCGGGAAGCATCAAAAAACACAATTCCCCTCGCAGAGTTAGCTGCAGTTTCGGTAAATCCGCAGGAGCTCCGGCAAGATTTTTCTCACTAGGTGTGTAATTTAATCATTTTTATGGAGTTTTATGATGTCGCTGCACTCTTTCGGAGCTGGGTCCTCCCCCTGCTCGCAAATCTAAGCGATTCTGCCAAAATCTGAACTCCTCCGTGCCAGGAGGGGACAAATTTCAGCTGCGAACTTGCAAACCCTGGCTTCGAGCAGGTGGAGCGATAAATCCCCTCTCGCTTTCTCCAGGGAAGATTTTCAAATTTATTTATTTATTTATTTATTTATTTATTTATTTATTTAGGCAATTTGGTCTCATCTTATGGAAGGAACCCAATTCAGAGAGAAACACCACGTATAGAGGCGCATTTCACCGAGTGAGCTGAAAATAAAGCCCGGTTCAGCCTTGGGGAGGCACCTCAGGGAGTTCTGCTTTCCACCCGTGCTACAGAAAAAAGCCTGAAAAGGTGAATCTGCTGACTTACCCGGCCTGAAGTCACCCGGGGGTGTCATCTTCCCAGCAACGGAGTAAATTCCTGCCAAAAAAAACGGGGAAGGAAAAGGTGGTTGGGATAACAGGAGGATACCCAAAAACTCTCGTAACACTGTCACCGCTGGCGAGGATGCCGCTGATGCTTTTTGAGCATCCGGCGCGGAGTTTGCGTGTGTGAAATTAGGTGAAAACCTGGAGATTTAGGGGCTTTTTCAGCTGAGAGAGGAACCCGTGTGACCCCGCGCATCCCGACGCCTTTCGCCCTGCTCCCTCCACCGGCGCTGCCCTCCTGCGCAACCCAACACCTCCCCGCCTCACCGGGACCCCTGCCGCCCCCAAAACCACCCAGAATAAAGGTGTTTTCACCCCGATTTTTACCTGCTTGTCTCACCAGCCGCTTGGCAGGGAGCGGCGGGGGGCCCAGCCAGTTGCCGTAGGTCTCTTGCTGGGCCATGCTTGGCCGGGGCGAGCGGCCGCGCAGGCGCCCAGGGGGGAGCTAAAGCCCCCGGCACGCAGCCCGGCACACCCCTCGCCGCCTCCGGCACCCCATTTTGGCCAGCGGCTCGGCCCCAAGGTTTCGGTTCCTCTCCGTGCCGGGCCGGCGGTGGCATGCAAATGGGGGACGAAGCTGCGCCCTCCCCACCCCAAATAAAAGTTTTGTGTTTTTTTTTTTTTTACGAGGGGAGTAATAGGATCGGTGTTTCAGGGGGCGCCGGGGCTGCAGCAGAACGGTGACACCACCGGCTGTGGGGGGCTGGAAGCGGCTCCTAAAAAGCTGTGGATTTTTGATTTATTTTTTTTAGGGGGGGGTGAATAAAACCACCCCGCGCACAACGCGGTGATGGTCGGGGGCGTTGGAGGCCATGCAGGTGAAATCCCAAATCTTCCAGCGGGGCCCATGCCCGCCCCGGGAAGGGGAATCCAGCAGCGAGGCTTTTCGGCAAAACAACCGTCGCGCCTCGCTGCCCACGAGCTGGGGATTTGCATGCGCAGCCCAAAAACACGTTCACACCTCGGCTTTGCCGCTCTCTCTTCCGTTTTTTGTTTTTTTTTTCACCTAAACTCTGGGAATAAGGTGTGCCGTGACCCCCCTCGGGGCCGCTCTGCTCCCGTTGGTTTAGTTTCAAGTTGCAATCAAACAATTTTATTTATTTATTTATTTTTTCCTGATTAAGTGGCAAGCGATAGGTTGAGCGCGCGGCAGGGAAGCGGCTCACAAAATGTTAAGGAACCCTCCCAAAACTGCCCAAACCCTCCTCTAGCTCGAACCCCGTGGCGGCGCTGGGCCCCGGGAGGACGCTCCCCTTTTCGGCCACCTCTTTCCACGCCAGCTCCTTCCCCCGCAGAGCGAATCCCAGCTCCTGCTGCTGCTGTTTCGGGGTCCGCAGCCGCGCGGCTTCACCGAGAGCCTGAGGAGGAGGAAGGAGCAGAACCCGCAGCAAAACCCACGGCGCGGCGATGCCTCCCGACCCCGCACCCCTCACTTTTGTTGTTTTTTTTCTCATCTTTTAAGCATTTTTTCCATCTCGCTTCCTCCGCGGTGGGTAATCACGCAGCAGCAAGTCGTCCCTCGCCCCGCAGCGCCGCCTTTCCGTCCCGCGCCCTCTTTTTTGCTGGTTTTCCCCCTTTTTTCTTTTTTTTTGAAGCCCACTAGCAGCTGCGCTCGCAGATCCAGGCCTCGGCACCGCTGCAGGTGGCGTCGTTCCAGAGGCCGCGGGAGGAGACGGTGGCGCAGTCCTCGCCGTGCTGCCCCACGTTGTTGGGCTCGCCGCTCCCCCAAAACCTGCGGGGGGGGCAGGCCAGTTTGGGTAGGAAGCTCTCCGTTTGGAAACTGGCTGGTTTTGATGGGTTTTGTGTGTTTTTTTTAAAGGTTCAACGGAAGGAGCAGCCAGGCAGAGCTCACCCCCCTCCCTGCAGTGTCCCCTCCTCTCCTTTTACCGCCTCGAAGCAGCTCTGCCTCCAGGTCAGTGATTTTCCCTTTTCCCCCCCGTTTAGCACTGACCAGCCCCGCTTCCATTTCGGGGCTTTTCCCCCAAATCCTGAGAGCGAGGAGAGTTGTCAGAAACAACCCCTTGGCCAGAAAACCTTTTCCTGTGCCATTTTCACGCTCCGCTAGAGCAGAGCACGGGGGTGGGTTAGTAAGGGTGCAGTGCTCGGTTTTTTGGGGCCAAAAAAGCATTAAAAAGCTGGGCTGGGGGGGGCAGTTTGCCCTCCGATGCTGCTGGAAAACATACGAGAGAGAGAGGGAGCGGCCGTCCACCCACTGCCAGTCGCCTTCCTTGTGCATGTCGCTCAGGCCCAGCCAGAACACCCGTGTCTCCATGATGTAATTTGCCAGAAATTTCTGTAAATGGGGGAAAAAAAGGCTTCAGGATGGGAAGGGGGCACCAATGGGGAGCTGCCCTTTGGCTGTCGGCAGCAGTCGGTGATGGTGGGGAGCCCGGCCCTGGCGGGGGACAAGCGCGAGGTGCCACCAGCCTGGCACAAAATCGTGCCAGACATTCTGGGGACAAACCCAACGGATTTGGCCAAGCCACTTCAGAACCACAGGGGAACCTCAGGGCTGGGGAACTCGGAGGCTTTTTCCCAGCTGTGAAGGCTCCAACGGCCCGCGCTGAACCTCCTGCTTTCCGCTTGCTTTGTATAAGCCTAATATTCTAAACGTGTTAATTGTGGGCGGCTATTTTGGTTCTTTTTGGTGCTTTTTTTGTGAAAATCCTCGGCTTACGTTTTCCAGCTCGCTCTTGACGATGGCCAGCTGCCCGCCGAGCCCGGCGCAGGAGTCTTTAGCCTCCATCCAGGGTTTGGCGTCAGTGGAGAAAAGGTAGCAGGTCCCGGCGAACTGCAGCCAGCCGGCGGGACACCTCGTGCAGAGAATTTCTGAGAGAAAACAGGGAAAATAAAACAACAAAAAAAGAGAAGCTGAGGTGGGTGAGCGCGGGGGGACGCCTGTGGGCTCGGCTCAGCCTCTCCCCCTCACCCGAGAGGTTTCGCAGCCCCTCCAGCGCCGTGCTGAGGAGCGTCTCCACGCGGCTCTGCTCCTGCCGCAGCTCCTCCAGCTGCTCCAGCGCCTGCTCCGGCGCCTCCCTTCCCTCTGCCGGGGTGGAAAACGAGAGAAAAAGGTAATTCAGGTTTTGCCAGAAGAAACCCCAAGAAACCCAGTTTCTGTCCAGGTTTCGCCAGAAGAAACCCCAAGAAACCCTGGTTAGGGCCCTTCCCCTTTTCCTTTCCGCCCTGATTTGCGCTGTGGCTTTTGCTGGGTATTTTTCCTGGGTGAGCGGCTGCTCTTTCAGCTTCGCCCATCGAAACCTCAAAGCCCTTTCACTGAACGCCGGGTTTTTTTTGTGTGTGTGTTTATCAACAGGCTGAGAACGAGTTTTTTCCGTTAGCATCGTGCTTCATGAGAGCTCGACCTCATTGAGATCGGCTCCGTGAGCTCCCGGCGCGTCTTAGGAACCTTTAGAGTGTCTGCCCAGTGCTTTGGGCTCAAAGGACTGGATTTAACGATTTTTCACCCAAATCAGGCTCTCACCCAGGGCACGGATGCGCTCTGACAGCTCCTTCCCGCACTCCGTTTTGCACTGTGCCATCTTCCACCACACGTTCTCCATTTCTTGGGACACTGGAGGGAGGAAAAACATTGCTTTTGCCCCCACTGCCCACCCCCGGTGTTAAACGCTGGGATTCTGCCTGAATTTCCCCCCAAACCACCTTGCCCTCGGCGTACCATTTAGAAGCTGGCTCTGAATCACCTGGAACTCGCCTGAGAGCTGCTTATCTAAGAGGAAGACAAGAGGAGAAGCCTCAAAACAAGCCCGTGGCCATCTCCATCCCACCAGAAGGGATGATTTTGGTCGGCTTGAAGGGAAAAGCCACCCCCAGAAGCAGCGGGTTTCATACCGAGGGCGTGCTGGACCTGCGAGAGGTTGTGCCAGGCTGTCGTGTGGCTCCTCTCGCCCTGCAGCTGGGCTTGGGCCAGCGCCTCCTGCACCGCCGACACTGGGGAAAGGAGCCGCAGGTTTTGTTCCGTTTGCTGGTCCTTTCCCCCCAAAATCGTGCCCAGTTGCGTGTGCTGTTCTCACCTTTCTGGGTGTTGGTGATGACGAGAGCCACCAAGATCACGAAGCCGAGGGCCAGCAGCAAGTACAGCAGCACCAGGGCTCTCTGCGAGGGCAGGAGGGACAGCACTGCGGGGGGCAAAAAAAAAAAAGGTGAGGCAGCCCCAAAACACTCCCTCCCCGGCAAACCTTTTGGAGGAGAGTGCAAAGAGCAGAGATTCCCCTGAGCTCCCTCCTGGGAAGCTCCGCCGCTCCCTTCTCCACACCCAAACCTCTTTTTCTTTTTGATCGCAACCCAACGGAAGAACTCTGAAGCCAAATTCAGCTCTAATTTTGGGAAGAGACCCATGTCGAGACCTGAAAACCTCCGTTTTCTTGTGTTCTAACTCCAAAGCCACTCCCTTGACCCTGGTGTGGCCCCACTACCTCCTTTGGGTGCTTTCTTCTGCTCTTCTTCCTCCAACAGCATGTCCTTGGTGAGCTCCCAGTTCTCACCGGTGCTCTCGGTGCCATCGTTCTGTGCCATCTCGGGTCCTTTTTCCCTTTGATATCACCCCAATTTTTATGCCGTCGTGAAGACACGTCAGCTTTTCCGGGGGAAGCAAATGTTCATATTTCATAATTCGCATTTCCAAAAATGTGCACACTCAGGAGCTTTTGGAGCAGCCGTGGTGCTTGTGCAGCCTCTCGCCACTTCCCCGCTGGTGTTGAGGAGTTCAGCGTCACGCACAGGGAGGTGCTGGCTTTGAAGGGCTCGTGCCTAAACACTGCGGATCGTGCCCAAATCTATCGCTGGTTTGGTTTGGGTTTCGGTGGGAATTCTACTTGCGGGTTTTGCTCGGTGTTTTTGTGGGACTTTCAACTGTTTTTAACCTGGCACTGTGAAAATCCTCGTTTTGTTTTGACGGCGACTCCCTCGTTCCTCCTCCTGAAACTTCTTTCGTTGCCCGCAGGGCTTTGAGCCAGGTGGCCCCGGGGCTATTGCAGAAAATGAAAGTTTGAATTTATGAGTAACTTCGCTGTTGACTGATTTTGGCCGAATTTCACAGAGGACTGAGGCACGGGGGAAGAGCAAACACGGCCAAAAAGTGAATGGCCTTCACCCCGGCCCTCCTGCTCAGGGCAAACAGCTTCCTCCTTTTGTCCGATTTCCCCTTTTTTCATCCCGAATTTAGGGGAAGTTGAGGCTGAACTTCCCCCCAGGGTGGCCACTCATTACCCGCAGGGCCCCAGCACTTCATGAGAAGGGACAGGATTGGTTTCGGGCCCAAATGCTGTGAATTTGGCTCACACGTTCTCATCCCCCCCCCCCCCCCCCCCCAAGCGTGTGATTTGTTTCAGTGACGTGGGAGAAGATTATAAAGGAAAAAAAAATCCAGGACAGCACTTTCTAAGAAGAAAGAATCGAAACCAGAAATAATGAGAAAGAATCAAAACCAGAGACAGAAGTCAAGAGTGGACCAAAAACAATCAGCTCCCACACCTAAACGCTCAACAATCCTTCACTCTTTAACCTTTTTTAGGGTTTTTATCTTTAAAGGGATATCTTTATCTTCAGTGTTGTTATTCTATGTGGATTTCCAACCAGTACTGAAGCCAGAGAGGCAGAAAAACCCCTTTACGCTGCCCAAACAAACATTTTAGCACCATTATAATGTCCTCAGGGCCATCTCCTCTCCTTCGCGGCACCTTCAGGCCTCAGGCTGTCCCCCCCCCTTGGCAGCCATTTTGTCCCCCCCTTGGCAGCCATTTTGTCCCCATCCCTGGGGATTTCAGCACCCCCCAACGTCCCCACCCTCGGATCCCTACAGGGGGGCTCCGATCACACCAAGGCCCCCGGGGCCGCCATTGCCCCCAGCCCCCTCCCACCCCCGGTGCCCCTCCGAGGGCCCCCCCAAGGCCGCTGAGGTAACGGGAGGGGGCGGATCCCTTCGCCTCAGAGCTGCCACTCGCTACTCGACGCCCCATTGGTGGGAGCTTCTGTCCATAACGCTCTTCGGCCAATCAAAGTGGCCGATCCAGCCGCTAAGGCGGGATCAAGCACCTGTGCTGAGAGGAGGGAACACCGCCCTGTGTCCGTGCTCCTCATTGGCTGCCTCGCCTCCGATCGATCAAACCAGCCATCGCTATTGGCTTCAGCCAAAGGGGCGGGGCTTATTGTCCTCTCCTGTCAACCGAGGTGCCACTCCAGGCGAGAGGCTGCATCCCATTGGTCATTCCGCCCATCCATCACCCCCCCTATTTGTGCCTGCCAGTCGTCTCCCAGAAAGGCCCACGGGGGGAGGGGGGGGAGGACCATCTCCTTGAACCTCATTGGCGAAACACCCGTCCATCAACACCCCTCCGGCCTCCCCATTGGCTCAGCGGTCAGGAGGCGGGGCCTTTTAGCCTAGACCCCCCCCCCTCCGAGGCTCATTCCCGGACCGCCCTCAGCGATTGGCTGCCGGCCCGGGAGTGGGCGGGCAGAGGCGCGAAGGCGGCGCGCTGATTGGCTGGGGGGCGGGGCCGCCTGTCACTCGGTGTCAGGGCGGCGGCGGCGGCGGCGGCGGCTCCCCCATGGCAGCGGCGGGGCCCGCGGCGGCCGCGGCTCCCGCTCGGCTCCAGGCGGCGGCGGCGGCGGCGGCGGCGGCGGCGGGGGGGAGCCGCGGGCCCCCCCCTCGGAGGCAGCCGGCGGTCGCCATGGCAGCGCGGCGCAGGTGGGCGTGGCCACGGGGAAGCCCCGCCCCTTTCTGGGAGGGAGGGGCTCCCCCCTCGGGGGGGGGGGCGCCCCCCTCAGGGGCTGAGGGGGGGGGGGGGGGGCAACGAGCACCCCCCTGAGGGGGGGGGTTGGGCCTAAAACCCCCTCAGGGTGACGGGGGGGGGGGGCATAAAAGGGACCCCTCGGCTGTGGGGGGGTGATTGGGGTCGCCCCCCCCCTGCTTTTGGGGTTAATTGGGGTTAATTTGGGGGTTAATTGGTTATTGGGGGCTGCCCCCCCCCATGGGGCTTCCCCTGTTTGATTTCTTTTTTTTTTGGGGGCGGGGGGCTCCAATCTGCCCCCCCCCCACTGCTGTGGGTGTTGGCCCTTCCCTGAAATCAGGTGAATTGGTAAAAAATCGGGTAAAATCGGTAAAAAGCAGAACAATAAAAAAAAAAAAAAAGAACAATAAAAAAAAGAACAATAAAAAAAGGGGGGGGGGCAGCAAGCGGTGCCCCCCCCCCAGGCATTGTTGTGAGCCCCCAAATGGCGCTGGGGGGGGGGGGCTGTTGTCACCCCCCCACACCCCCCCAGCACCCATGGGTGGGGGTCCCTGTGAGCCCCCCCCCTGGTGATGAAGATGGAGCATCGGCGGCTTTGTGCCGTCCCCGCCTCTCCTTTTGGGTTCAAACCCAGCGATTTTAGCCACGCCGGGGCGGCTCGGGCTCCAAACCGCAGGGTTTTGCCCCCAAATCCCACCTCTCTTTTTTCTTTTTTATTTTTTTCCCTTTTTTCGCTGCTTTTCGCTCGGTCGGGGGCTTTGCCGGCAGCGTTTAATGCCTGCTGCCACCATTGGGGGGAAAAAAAAACACGATTTCGGTGAAAAATCCCTAAAAGACACCAAACCCACGCGGTCTGGGGCTCGTTTCAGCCGATTTGGAAGTGCAAAAAGCACCAAAATCACCGCCCGAGTGGTGTTTTGGGAGGTTTTCCCCCCAAAATGCCCCAGGAGGCTGCGGGGGGGTTGCTCTCATTTGGGGTTCGACTCAATTTCCACCAGATTTTGGGTGGGTTTGGGATGCTTTTGACATTGGCGGCATTTTGGGGGGATTTTAGCTGAAAAAAATGTTCCTGCTTGGTCCGGGCCAGTGGCAAAAAACATGGTTTTTAAACCCATTTTGCCCGTTTTCCTCCTTTTCCCTCCACCCGTGGCTGCTGGTGATGCTTGCGAACGTCCCGCTGAAATATTTGGGGTGGAATCGATTCTTTTTCCTCACCCGGCTCCTTTTATGAATTAAAAACCGTTTTTTTCTGGCAAATGAGTGAATTTTGGATAGTTTTGTGTTCGGCCGCGACGAAAACGCTGCTTTGGGGAACTTTGGAGCCGAAAAAAAACGTCGGAGATGCTGCAAAAACACGGCGAAAATGGGGTGAAAAAGGTGCAAATCGGCACCGAGAGATGCTGCCAATAAAAACAGGCGGAAAAGGCACAAAAGCGGCGTGGAAGAGGCCCAAAACAGGGCGGAAAAGGCCCAAAACGGCGCAGAAAAGGTACAAAGCTGCGAAAAGGGCCCCAAAAAGCTGCAAATTTGGCAGATTTTCAGTGAAAGGGTGGAAATTTTCACAGTTTTCCTTCAGAAGTGGCCCGGGCTCAAGGTCAGTGCCTCAACGTCGTGCTGAAAATGGGCGTTTCTGCAGCGTTTTGGGGTCATCCAAGCCCCTTTTGGGGCTGGTTTCCTCAAATTGGTGCCTGGCCGGCCCCGTGGTGTTTCTGGGGCCGTTTTCACCGTTTTCCCCCCAGTTTTCTTAGGGCCTTTGGTAACCCCTTGGCCAGATCGCTGCTGAGGTCCTCGTCCCCGAGCCTGGGGGGAATTTGGGGTGGATGCTTTGAAAAGCTGCCCCACGGCGCCTCCATCCACAGAGTGGTGTGCCTTTTTTCCTCCAAATTCAAGCATTTTCAGCAAATTTGTGTCCCCATCATCCCAGAACAAGTGTTTCCTCATCCCAGAGGCTGCTCCCGCTGCCAACAGGCACCCCGGAACGCCCCAAAGAACGGGGGCTGCCAGCTCCTTCCCTCCCCACCACAAAACCACCCAAAACCACCAGGATTTCACCCAAAAAATCAGGTTGAAGAGCGGGAGCTCCCCTTTTCCACCCGTTTTGGTCGCATAACCTCCGCTGCCGTCCTCGTGCCTCGCTTTTGAGCTGATCTCGTGCATTTTGCGTGTTTCCTTTATTTTTTTTAATCCCCTCACCAGAGCGGAGCTATTTTTTTTCCCTAAAAAGCCATTTCAGGACGTTTTCGCAGCCCATCGGACCCCGGCTTGGTCGTTAACGTGGAGTTTTGCAGCCGAGACCTCGGAAATATTAATTCCCCAAAACAAATTAATGGGGCTGGATGCGCCCTGCCCCGCCACGTGCAGCTGAATTAGGCACAATTGAGGCTTTTTCCTCCTCCCCAGCCCTTAAAAAAATGGGAAAATTTCCTGCTTATTGAGCAAATCCACCCGAGCCCGTTAACCGTTGACCCGGTTCTCGCCCCGAAGCGGCTCTGTTAAATTTTGCTGCTTTTCGGAAACCATTAACCAAACCGTGCAGGATTTGCCTCGGTCGCGGTACGGCTGCGCCTCCACGCTGCTCTCCTCCAAGCTCATTTTGGGCCATTTTTTTTCCCCCCAAAAAAAATGGGAAGGAAACGCAGCTTTTTGGTTAAACCCCTCGTGATTTTATAACTTGAGCTGCACAGAGCAAATTGAGGCCAGATCAGGTAAATCGGGCGTTTCCTAGCCACGGCGCTTCCTTTTTTCTCCCTGCTTTCTTGATCCCCTCCAAACACAGGATCACTCTGCTGATCTTCAGCAGCAGTTTTCACCAAAAAGCATGTTTTCAGCCCCAAAAAACAACCTGCAGCTTCCCACCCCATTTCCACCAGTCCCCGCCGTGCCCAAACTGGGACTTTTTCCTCTCCAGGGAGGGTTTTTTTTCTCTAAAACCCTGCCGGAATGGGCAAACTGTGCAGCGTCAGCACCCAGAGCAAATCCCCAGCGGGGGCAGTGCTCTGGAAATCCTCTCTTCTCACAATAAGCCCCAAATGGGGGTACTTTGGGCCAAAATGAGGGTCCGATTGGCCCAAAATGAGGGTACGCTGGGCAAAATTCCAGTTTTTAGCCTCGTTTCATGTAGCTAATTTACAGCAAACACGGGGTGATGCGCTTGGACCTGGCTCGACGTGAAACCAGGCTTTTTTGGCAGGGAATTCACCAAATCTCTCCGCGGGCTGCAAACTGAGCCATGCCCACGCCACAGCTTAGCTAAAACCAGGGCTTTTTGGAAGAAATTTGCAGCAGCACCCAGAGGTTTGAAGGAGAAAAGCTCACGGAGCCGGAGGGGGGGTCCCCGTCCCGCTGACGTTGTCGTTTGGCTTCCAGGTGAGACCCCAAAGCCCCCGGGGGGTTCGGAGCCCCGCCGCGATGGCCTCGCCGGCCGTCAGCCCCGACTCGTCGTCGCACGAAGCCCTCTCCTCCGTCAACTCGGCCCCGGCCTGCTCGCCCACCTCCGACTCGGAGAACCTCAGCCCCGACGAGCTGGAGCTGCTGGCCAAGCTGGAGGAGCAGAACCGGTGAGCCCCGGCTTAAAACGGCCTTTTTTGGGGGATTTCCCCCAAAATCAAACGGCGACGCCCTTCTCCCAAGCCTCAGTCAAAGCAAGGTGAAAATGCTCCAGTTGGGTTTTTTTTTTTGTGGTCCACGTTCGGTTTTTTCTTTGACAGCAGCAGGGTTTGATCGCTCAGGTGGGTCCCGTGGCAGGAGGTGGCTGTTTGGGACTCGTCAATAAGAAACGCACCCACTTTGCTCGTTTTTTTACCCGATTGATGGGAAGCGAGCCCCGAGGCTCCCTTCGCGGAAGGACCAGGCGAAAAGCTCTGCAGTAAAGCAGTGTTGTGCCCCAAAACGCCAGCTCTGAAATGCAAATTCCCTCGCAAAGCCATTTCTAGGCAACATTTCCCACAAAAAAACCCCGCTGCGATCCCATTACTGAGCAAAGGCGTTACAGAAACCAGCCCTGGGCAGCTGTCAGCAGCTGGCTGGGGAAAATCGCCCATCTGGGTGCCATTTGGGAAGGGTTTGGGGGATGTCTCTTCCCCTGGGACAGTTTGGGGGGAGTATCTCATCTTTTGGGGTATTGTGGGGGGACAGTTCCACCTTCAGAGCGGTTTTGGGGAGAATATGTTTTCTTTTGGGGTGTTTGGGGGGGAATTCTCCTCCTTTAGGGTGTTTGGGGGGGAATATGTCCTCTTTTGGAGTATTTAGGGGGGAATTTCTCCTCCTTTAGGGTGTTTTTGGGGGGAGTATGTCCTCTTTTGGGGGGCATATCTCCTGTTTGGGGGCTCTCTCCTCCTTTTGGGGCTTTTTTTGGGAGCTAACTCCGTCTCTGGCAGGCTGCTGGAGGCCGACTCCAAGTCGATGCGCTCCATGAACGGCTCGCGAAGGAACAGCGGCTCCTCCTTGGTCTCCAGCTCCTCGGCCTCCTCCAACCTCAGCCACCTGGAGGAGGACACCTGGATCCTCTGGGGCCGCATCGTCAACGAGTGGGACGAGTGGCGGAAGAAGAAGGAGAAGCTGCTCAAGGTGCGGGGGGGGCGGTGCATTGCTTTCGCTCGATTCCGAGCCGACGGAAAGCCGATTTCTCAGGTTTTTCACCCCATTTCTCCCCAGGAGCTCATCCGCAAAGGGATCCCCCACCACTTCCGCGCCATCGTCTGGCAGCTGCTGTGCAGTGCCACCGACATGCCCGTCAAAAACCAGTACTCGGAGCTGCTCAAGATGTCCTCGCCCTGCGAGAAGCTGATCCGCCGCGACATCGCCCGCACCTACCCCGAGCACGAGTTCTTCAAGGGCCAGGACAGCCTGGGCCAGGAGGTGCTCTTCAACGTCATGAAGGTAACGTCTCCCCCGGCACCGCCGCGTTTTGGGGTTTGGGGAGCTGGTTTTGGTGGCGAGGAGTTGTGCTGGGCTTTGGTTCCCACCACCAGCTCCCGGCACCGCTGCTTGGCGCGGCGTAACCAAACCTTCATCCCCAGAGCTCCTTACTCCTGGAGTTCTGAGTCGATCAGGAAAGGGATAGTTGAGTTTTTTGGGGTCAAACCTGAGCTTTGCAGCGATGTCATGCGCACAAGCTGAATAAAAAGCTCTTTCCTACACCATGGCCAAGCCCTCCCTCCGCCGCTGCACGCCTGCAGCGAGCAGGGACAGTGCCCCAGCCCATCCCCCAGCTCACACCTCTGTTTCTTTCGATTTTGGGACCTTTCCAGGCTTATTCGCTGGTGGACCGGGAGGTCGGATACTGCCAAGGCAGCGCCTTCATCGTGGGACTGCTGCTCATGCAGGTTTGTGGCGGGCCCTGGGGTTTTTAATGCCCTTTGGGGGGTGGCAGGAGGGGGATGAGAAACGGGAGCCTTTTCCTTCGTTTTCAGGAGCAAAATGGGCTCGTTCTCCCTACCCCCCGCTCCCCCTGGGTTTAAAATCCCCCCGTTCACGTTCCCATTCAGCCGGGGCTGGCTCCCAACGTGTCCCGTCCCATCCCCTGAGGGCAGGAGGCTCCGTTCTGGAGCTGCTGGCGGGTGTTTAAGGGGGGATTTGTGTCCCCACGGGTCTCCAGATGCCCGAGGAGGAGGCCTTCTGCGTGTTCGTCAGGCTGATGCAGGAGTACCGCCTGCGGGAGCTCTTCAAACCCAGCATGGCCGAGCTGGGGCTCTGCATCTACCAGTTCGAGTACATGCTGCAGGTAAGCACGGCCCCCGAAACGCTCGGGGTGGCAGGAGCCTGAGGGTGGATCGGGGGGACAAGGACCGGGAGAGGTGGGAGAGAGGTGAGAGGCTTGGGAGGTGCTGGAAAGAAATGAAATCCTCCCCTGGAGGCCACCCAGAGATCCTGGGGGCACCCCAGGGACCCTCCACGATTCCTCGGGGGAGCATCCCCGGGGACCTCCCCGAGGGCCCGTCCGTGCCAAAAAGCCACGAAGGACCCCTGAAATCGGCCCCCGGGCCCCGTTTTCGTTCCCGTTTCCCCCCCACAGGAGCAGCTGCCGGAGCTGAACATCCACTTTCGGTCGCAGAGCTTCCTCACCTCCATGTACGCCTCGTCCTGGTTCCTCACCCTCTTCCTCACCACCTTCCCCCTGCCCGTGGCCACACGCGTCTTCGACATCTTCATGTACGAGGTAACGGGGCCGCGGCAAACGCCTGCAGCACAAAGAGGGGGGAAATGCTCTCCCTGCGGGGCGTTTCGGGGAGAAACCCCAAACCCCTCGGGGGCAGGGGGGGGGGAAAGGTGACGGCCATCCCCGCAGGGGCTGGAGATCGTCTTCCGCGTGGGGATGGCTCTGCTGCAGTTCAACCAGGCCGAGCTCGTCCAGCTGGACATGGAGGGCATGTCCCAGGTACGTGCTGCTGCTTTTGGGGCAGATTTATCCCACAGGCTGTGTTTTGGGGTGAATTTGTCCAACAGGGCGTATCTGGGGGGGTTGGATTTGTCCAATGTCCAATTTTGTCCATTTTTGTGGCACAGGATGTGTTTTGGGGCACGTTTATGAAACACGACATGTTTGGGGGCATGTTTTGGGGTAGATTTACTCACCAGGTTGCATTTTGGGGCCAGTTTCCCCATCAGGCCATAGTTTGGGGTCAGCTCCCGCAGGAGGCCACATCTCAGGGGTGATTTACCTGATGGGCTGCGTTTTGAAGCAAATTCCTGTCTGACAAGACACGTTTGGGGGCAGATTTGGTGGGCGTTTTGACGGGAGGTGGCTGGGGGCTGTGTTTTGGGACCGCTCGACGTGCCGGGCTGCTTTTGGGGCCGTGTTTTGGGGTGCTCGATGAAACCAGGGCTGCGTTTTGGGGCCGTGGCTTCAGCCCAGGCTGTGCCCGCAGTACTTCCAGAAGGTGATCCCGCACCAGTTCGACAGCTGCCCCGACAAGCTCATCCTCAGGGCCTTCCAGGTCAAGTACAACCCCAAGAAGATGAAGAGGTGAGGACGGGCTCCTGCCCCCTGGGACACCCCCCCGGGACGCACGGGCGGGTGCCTGGCCCCGGCCCCGTGTCCCAGCCCGGCCCCGTGTCCCCCGCAGGCTGGAGAAGGAGTACGCTGCCATCAAGAACAAGGAGATGGAGGAGCAGATCGAGATCAAGGTGAGCTGGGGTCGTGCAGCAGCAGCCTGGGGCCGCGTGAGCCCTGGGGACATCAGCACCCCCCTGGGGACATCAGCACCCCCCCGGGACTGATTCTTCCCCGATTTTTTCCCCGATTTCTTCCCCAGCGCCTCCGCACCGAGAACCGCCTGCTGAAGCAGCGCATCGAAACCCTGGAGAAGGTGAGCCCCACGGCTGGCACCCCGAAACCTCCTGGGGGCCCCCAGCACCTCCTGGGGGCACCCAAAATCTCCAGGAGGCCCCCAAAATCTCCTGGGGGCCCCCAGAACCTGCTGGGGGTACCCAATACCAACCTGGAACCCCCCAAAACCCACCCTGGAGCACCCCAAAACACCCTGGAGCACCCGAAACCCACACTTAGGCTGCCATCCAGATACCCAGCACCCTTGGGTGCAACCCCATGACCTCCAGCAGACCCTTACAGGGCTGCGCCCCCAAAATCTCCCCCTCTCAGCATCATTTTTGGGAAAAAAGAACAAAAAAAAGGCAAACCACATCCAGCAGGCGCCTTCCTTCTCGATTTTCCAAGCGGGTTCTCCCTCCAGGAGGTGGAAAACACTCCAGTTTAGGGCAAAACCTGGCGGTTGCCCTATTTCCCCACCCCCACCCCGTACCCAAAAGAGCTAAAATCCTCGGAAAGCACCCCAAAACGGGAAGGTGCCGGGTGTCTCTGCTGCACGGCTTCTCTCGCTGCCTCTGTCTGCGTTTATCTCGTTACCTGTCTCCTTTCTCTCTCTTCCTCCGCCGGCGGCCGCAGGAGAGCGCGGCTCTCGCCGACAGGCTCATCCAGGTAGCGTCCCCAAAAATGGCTCTTTTTGCCCCTTTTCCGCTGCGTTTTAACCCTTTTCTCCCCGCCTCTTTGCTTCCCAGCCTCCGGCTCGCTCGGTCGGGGAGGTTTGCCTGCTTTTCCGGAGGCTCCCGCGCACCTTCCCCGCTTTGGAAGGGGGGGGAAGGAGGAGCGGTGGGGTTTGGGGTGGGCAAATTTGGGGTTTGGGGCCCGTTTGGGGGCTCGACATAAAGCGGGGGGCGGTGTGGCGGTGCTTGGGGTTTGGGGTAAAAAGCTGACATTTTGGTGAGTTTGAAGAAAACTGGTGGGTCTGGGGCGCGAGGTCAGCGCTGGGTGCAGGTGGTAGGGGGCAGGATGACCCTGGAGGTCCTCGTGGGGCTGCTGTCACCTCAGTGCCACCTCCTTGTCCCCAGTGTCACCCACGGAGGGGCTGGTGTCACCCACCGTGGGGCTGGTGTCCCAAAAACAGGGCTGGTGTCCCCAAAATGGGGCCAGTGTCCCCAGAATGGGGCTGGTGTCCCCAGAATGGGGCCAGTGTCCCCAAAATGGGGCTGTTGTCCCCAGAATGGGGCTGGTGTCCCCAAAATGGGGCTGTTGTCCCCAGAATGGGGCTGGTGTCCCCAAAATGGGGCCAGTGTCCCCAGAATGGGGCCAGTGTCCCCAAAATGGGGCTGTTGTCCCCAGAATGGGGCTGGTGTCCCCAAAATGGGGCTGTTGTCCCCAGAATGGGGCTGGTGTCCCCAAAATGGGGCCAGTGTCCCCAGAATGGGGCCAGTGTCCCCAAAATGGGGCTGTTGTCCCCAGAATGGGGCTGGTGTCCCCAAAACAGGGCTAGTGTCCCCAGAATTGGGTGTCACCTCATCCCCCACGCCCTGCTCTTGTCCCCAGCCTCAGGACCGTCCCCCCCTTGCCCCCACACCCCCCTCATCTCCTCCCCATGGGCGCCGCTGACCCGACGGGGGGACGGGGACGGGGCTCGGTGCCCCCACACCCCCAGGAGGTGACCCGTCCCCTCCCCCGTGGTGTCCCCAAGGGCCAGGTGACGCGGGCGCAGGAGGCGGAGGAGAACTACATCATCAAGCGGGAGCTGGCGGTGGTGAAGCAGCGCTGCTCCTCCGCCACCGAGAACCTGCAGCGCGCCCAGAGCACCATCCGCCAGCTGCAGGACCAGCAGGTCGGGGTCCCCAAACGTCCCCAAGTGTCCCCGAGCCTCCCCGGGTGTCCCCGAGCATCCCCAAACATCCCCGGGTGTCCCCGAGCCTCCCCGGGTGTCCCCCTTCATCCCCAGCCCCCGTCTTGGTGGTGTCACCGGGCGGGGGGCACCCACGGGTGACGCCTCGGGGCCGGTGGCAGGGGAACCCACGGTTCAGCGAGGAGTTTGTCACCCACCTGGAGACGGAGCTGGAGCAGTCGCGGCTGCGGGAGAGCGAGACGCTCGGCGCCCTGAAGGAGATGCAGGACAAAGTGCTCGACATGGAGAAGGTGAGGGGGGGCTCGGGGCGGGGGACCCTGGGGTTGGGGACAGCCGTATGGGATCTCTGGGTTGGGGACAGCCACATAAAGGACCCTGGGGTTGGGGACAGCCCCGTGAAGGTCCTTGGGGACTGTCCCGTGACTGTCCCCGGGCTGGGGACAATCCCTGAGTGGCCTTGAGGATGGGGAGTGTCACACGGGTGGCTCTGGGGACAGGGATTGTCCCACGAGTGGCCTCAGGGATGGGGACAAAGACACAAGCAGCTATGGGGGCTCCTGGACCTGCTGTCCCAGTGCCACAAGAGTGTCCCCAAGTGTCCCTCGTGCCCCCTGTCCCTGGGGATCCCCAGTGCCACATGAGCGTCCCCAGGTGTCCCCCCGTCCCCACATCAGCTCCCACCAGCGCCCCACGAGCATCCATCCCCACCTCCCCCCGAGCCCCCCAGGGTGCCCCCATCCCCAGGGCGTCCCCCCCGATGTCCCTGTGTCCCCGCAGAGGAGCAGCCTCCTGCCGGACGAGGACAACGTGGTGAGGCTGCAGGAGGAGCTGCAGGCGCTGGCGCTGCGCGAGGCCGAGGCCGTCAAGTCCCTGACGGAGCTGCAGCAGCAGGTGAAGGACCTCAGTGACAGCTGGCAGGTGAGGCCACCCCCGTGTGTCCCCCCCCGGCCACCCCGTGTCCCTCGTCCCAGTGCCTGGGGCCCCTCCTGGCCACCTGCAGCCCCTTTGTGGCCACCTGGGGCCTTCACCATGATGCCTGGGTCCCCTTTTGGCCACTTGGGTCCCTTGTCCCAACCCCTTGTCCCCCCCTGGCCATCTGGGTCCCCTCGCAGACACCCAAGTCCCCTTGTCCCACCACCTGGACCCCCTGTTCCCAACACCCTGTCCCCTCTGGGTGCAGGCGGGCCGTGCGGGGGGGCGCTGGAAGGAGTCCCCGCGGCGCAGCAACGCCAACGCGCTGCAGGACGCGGTGCTGGCTGCACGCCTGCGCGAGGCACAGGCCCAGGCTGAGCTGCGGGCGCTGCGGCAACGGGTGCTGCAGCTGGAGACACAGGTGGGTGTGAACTGGGCATACTGGGGCCATGGGTGCTGGGGTCGTGGGTGCCAAACTGGGGATACTGGGGCTCTGGGTGCTGAACTGGGATTGCTGGGGCCATGGGTGCTGGGGCTATGGGTGATGTACTGGGGGTGCTGGGGCCTTGGGTGCTGGCGCCACGGGTGCTGACCTGGAGACACCAGTCCCATGGGTGCTGAGCTGGTGTCCCTGGGAGCCGGGGGCACGGCGCTGGGCCATGTGGGGGTGCCGGGCCACCCGGGGGTGCCGTGGCCGAGGAGGGGAGGTGACAGGGTGACAGAGCTGTGTCCCCCCCCTCCTTGGCAGGGCCAGATCCAGCGCACGGTGCTGGGCCGTGCCGAGCAGACGTGCGCGGGGCTGCGGGAGCAGCTGCGGCTGGCGGCCGCGCAGAGCAAGGGGCTGCAGGCGCAGCTCAGCGAGAGCCACCGCAAGCACGCCGAGGCCCAGTGCAAGGTGGGACACCCGGGGGGACTTGGGGACACTCGGGGGGACTTGGGGAGACTTGGGGACGCTCAGGGATACTTGGGGACACTCGGGGATGCTTGGGGACGCTCGGGGGCACCCACCCATCCCCTGCCCTGGGGTCCCATCTCCATCAGCCATGGGGTGACACGGTGACATAGTGACACGGTGGCACGGTGCCGTGGTGACACAGTGACATGGTGACACAGTGACATGGTGACGTGGTGCTGGGGTGACACAATGACAGGGTGACAGGATGATGCAGTGACATGGGGACACAGTGACGTGGTGACAGGGTGACACAGTGATGGGGTGACACGGTGCCATGGTGCCATGGTGTCACGGTGACACGGTGCCACGTGTGTCCCCAGAGCAAGGAGGAGGTGATGGCCGTGCGGCTGCGCGAGGCCGACAGCATGGCTGCCCTGGCTGAGATGCGGCAGCGCGTGGCCGAGCTGGAGATCCAGGTGGGTGACACCGGGGGGACACCTTGGGGACACCTTGGGGACACTGGGGGGACAGGGGGGCACCCGCTGACCCGCGCGCACCCGCAGAGGGAGGAGGGGATGCTCCAGGGGCAGCTCAACCACTCGGACGCAGCGCAGTACATCCGGCAGCTCAAGGACCACATCGACGAGCTCAAGGCCGAGGTAAGGCACCCATGGGTGCTGCGGCGCCGCCCTCCTGCGCCCGGGGGTGCTGGGAGACCCGTCACCCGCACCCAGGGGTGCTGGGGGGGGTGTGTGCAGCACCCATGGGTGCTGGGATTGCCCTGCCCCGCACCCACGGGTGCTGTGTGCCCCACATCCCGGGGCTGTCACCCTCGGGTGCCTCGGGGCCCCCCTCCTGCCCCCCCGGCCTGTCCCGGTCCCCGTGCGGGTGCTGCCGTCGGCGACGTCCCCGCAGGGACAGCTGGTGACAATGACCTCCCTGTGCCACCCCCCCCTTCTCTGCTGGCCCCTGCCTTGGCCCTTGGCCCTGTCCCATTGTCCCTGTCCCCTCTGTCCCCGTATCCCCATCCCCTTGTCCCCCTGTCCCCATGTCCCCGTCCCCTTGTCCCCGTGTCCCCGTGTCTCCTTGTTCCTTTGTCCCCGTCCCCTTATCCCCCTGTCCCCATCCCCCTGTCCCCGTTCCCGTCCCCGTGTCCCCGCAGATCCGGCTGCTGCGGGGCCCGCTGGCGTTCGGGGCGGTGGGGCTGTGCCGGCGGCTGGGGGACGAGGACTCGCTGGGCTCCTCGGACGAGGAGCTGCCCCCCCCCTTCGCGCTGCCCCGCGGGGACCTCGGGGACCTCGGGGACATGGGGGACAGCAGCGACAGCGACGCCGAGGGGGCCCCCCCGGCCCCTGAGCCGTGCCCGGGACCTCGGGGACCCGCTGGGGACACTGCGGGGGGGGCTTCGGGGACACCGCAGGCGCCCCCGACCCTTGGGGACAAAGAGGGGACAAAGAGGGGGACCGCCAGCCCGGGGCACCCAGGGGACGTGCGGGGACACCCGGGGACCCACAGCACCCAGGGGACACAGAGGGACACTTGGGGACATCGGGGGCACGCAGGGGACATGGGGGGGGGGCACATGGGGACACCCACAGCACCCAGGGGACTCTTGGGGACACCCAGGGGACACCGAGGACCCCCCGGCATGGCCCTGATCCTGCCCTCCCCCTTGTGTCCCCCCCCATTTGGACCCCATGGAAAAAGAACCGAGAGGTGCTGGGGGCCCTGAAACCCTGCGGAGTTGCCCCAAAATGTTGTGCCCCCCCCCCAAAAAAAAAAAGAAAAAAAAAAAGGAAACAAAAAACCACATTTTGGGCTGCCTCAGGAGTGTTCTTGGATCCCCAAGCGCCTTTATTTGGGGAGGCTGCGGGGGGAGGGGGAGGGAAACATTTTGGGGAGGGGGTCCCAGGCTCAGGGGGCTCCTGGGGGGGCCCCAACTGGAGGCAGCTTCAGGTCGGTGGTCCTGAGCTGGGGGGGGGACACCAGTGTGCTCCCAGTGCCCCCCAGTATCCTCCCAGTGCCCCCATTCACTGGTTCTGCCCCCCCCCAGTCTCTTCCCAGTACTCCCAGTACACCGTGCCCCCCCCCTTGTTTTCAGTGCCCGGTATTGGCAGTCAACCCCCCCCCCAGTGCCCCCCCAGTGCTCCCAGTGTCCCCAGTATTACCAGTTACCCCCCCAGCTCCTTCCGGTGCTCCCCCCAGTGTCCCTGTGCCCCCCCGGCTCTCCCACTTCCCTCCCAGTCCCTCCCCCATCCTTCCCAGTGCTCCCAGTGCCCCCAGTACCTGCCCCCCCCCACGCTGGGGGGCCGTGCTGGAGCCGGGGGGGGGTGGGGGGGGCGTCGGGCAGCTGAGGGTAGAAATGGGGGGGGGCAGGTTGGGGATGGAGGATTTTTTTTTGGGGGGGTGGATTTGGGGGGGGGTCGGATTTTGGAGGGGGGGGGGGCCTCACCTGTGCGGCCGTGGACGAGCCAGAGCCCCCCCGCCAGCGCCGCCCCCACCACGAAGGCACCGAAGGAGACGGCGGCCACGGCCCGGGGGGCACGGACGGGGCTGGGGGGGGGAAAAGAGTTAATCGGGGGGGGGGCTGAGAACCCCCCCCCCAAAAAAAAAAAAAACAGCACTCACCTGCGGGGGGGGGCCTGGGCTGAGCCGCAGGGGGGGGCTGGGGGCGGCGCAGGAGGGGGGGGGCGGGAAAGGC